ATAATAATAATAATAATAATAATAATAATAATAATAATAATCCTTAACATACTTAGTGGCTATGGGATTTATGCTGTGGGGGAGGAAATGGAAGGAGGCAGGATGAGGACGGAATGGAGTGTACTGGGAAAGACTGGCTTGAAACTGTGAAGAGGTACATTCCATATGACATATTCACTGTTGGTGCCATAATTGCCATATTCAGAAGCCAGCAGTCCACAAAATTTGGACGGGCCCACCAGGCTCCATCATTGCAGGTTTCTAAGAAGGCCCCCAGAACATAGTATTTTCATAAGCATGAAACTTAAGCAGAACTTCCCACTACAACCGGTTGTTTCTGTTATGGTTGTGGTTTTGACTTTTATAAATCATTTTAATACCACAGCAGTCTTTATAATGTGTTGTATTGCTGCATTCAGGGCAGCCAAGAAATATTTTAAATGCATAGTTTCTGCCATAATAAATGGACTGGCCCATAAGGCGCTACAAGGCTATGAGAGAGTCTTTGGAAATGGAATTTTTGCCCTAGGAACGATTTTGCGCTAAGATGTTTCCCTTCTTTTATTAAGCATATCAAAGGAGACTAAGAATTACAGGTACTGAAATTTATTAAAGGTGGAACTAGGCCCTGAAAAGATTCTTGGCACTGGTCCATGTGACACATCCCTGAGCAGGCTGATTTTTATCTCTAGATGGAAATGTAAAAATAAGGATAAGAATGGATTTCAATTTCATAGAAGGCAAAAGCAGTCAAACTTCTCATCCCAATCATCTCAAAGAAAATAAATTCTTCCATGAATTTGCCCCCTGACAAATCATCCCAAACCAGTGAACAAGTGTCATTTCCTAAGCTGAATTGCCATCCAGAAAGAATCGTAGAATCATAGAATAGCAGAGTTGGAAGGGGCCATGAAGGCCATCGAGCCCAACCCTCTGCTGTTCCAGGACACCAAATTACACCATCCCACTCAGATGGCTGCTCAGGTTCTTTTTGAATGTCCCCAGTGTGGGAGAGCCCCCCACCTCTCCAGGCAGCTGGTTCCACTGTCCTATTGCTCTGGCAGTGAGGAAGCTTTTCCTGATGTCCAGCCTGAATCTGGGTTGTCACAACTTGAATTGATTATTCCATGCCCTACATTCTGGCATCAGCAAGAAGAGATCTTGACCTTCCTCTTTGTGACAGCCTTTGAGGTCCTGATAGAGGGATACAATATCCCCCCTCCTCTTCTCAAGGCTGAACAGGCCCAGTTCCCGCAGTCTCACCTCACAGGGCAGTGTTTCCAACTGTGATTGTGTGTGTATGTGTTCCAGTCTGTAGCAAGGCAAGAATTAATTTCTGCTTGAGCTGCAATCTCCCATGAAAATTGCCCTCCTTGCATGGCAAGCAAACTTAGAAAAAATTGCCATTGGTATCAATGCTGTCTCAGGACACTGGGGAACAGATCTGGGGCCATGGGAAACAGATTCTTGTCAATGTCCTGAAACTGATGTTCTTGGTACTAGCTCAAGAGCCTTACTAAGAAGGACTTAATCTGCACTCGTGCCAGATTTTACCCAGAAAAAACATAGTTATCATTTTAGCATTTCAATCAAACTATGAAGCATTTTTCCCTTATTAAGCAATTGACACAATGAGGAAGTGACAGAGAATCAGGCCAAAACTGGGAAAATGATGACCTTCCAATGACTGTCTAGGTGGAGTGTTCATTGGAACAATATCCTGGCCCAAAAAGTGAACTCTCTTCCCTAAAAGATAATAGCTTGTGCTGTGACTGCCATCATGATGTTGCACAAACTGGTTTAGATTGGCAAAAAAATTGACTCAGACAGAAGATTCCCCCCCCCCCATTTGCTTAGCTCATTCTTTGTATGCAAATCAGCACACAGAATTTGAGTATAAATAGTTCATTGCCTCCTGGGTTTCCTCACTCTGCTTCACTTCCTACACTCTTTTGGGTCTTGGTTCTGCCTGAAGTCAGGTGAGTAGAAGCAATTTATATTTTCTTGGCTGGAAAGGGCAGTCATGGTTACCAGATGTTGATTTGAGAGAGGTTCTGGACTGGAAAGTTAGATGCAGAATCACCCCATGGGTGTTTATCCAGAAGGCCTTTAAAGGGTCTTGGCACCGGCTAGAAGTGTTAGGCTAGGAAACAGAGTCTATGCCTAAGGCTAGAGACACCTTGGGGTCTGGCTTGAGTCATTGCTGATCTCCATCAAGTCTTCCTAAGAAGCTAGCCATGAGATCTATAGTGGGATGGCTCCTCTTGTGCTGCAAAGCAGCAGTGCAGAAAGTCTGGCCCACTGAGCCATTTCTGGCGGCATCCTGACTCTGCCACCACTGGGAAAAGACAATGAAGTGGCATTTCCCACAGTAGCTCCAGCAAGGGAACCCCCTTTCTGGCCTCCCACCTTGGCCGTGAGCTGGGCCAGAGAACCTGTTTCTTCGACACTGATCTTTGGTGAGAGATGGGTGATGGGGAGAGGTTTCTTCTTTGCTAGCTCTAGCAGAAGAAACAGCATCCACCTGTGTGTGCAGGTGCCTGAGTGTTTGTGTGGATGTGTCTATGCAAATATGCATGCCTCTCCAAAGTTTACACCGCCACTTATCCTAACAGTGGGTCTCTCTGTTTTGCCAATTGTCCCAAGCACATGAATGGGATCACTAAAAGCAATGTTCTGCTTCTCTCTCTCCCAGATTCCTGTAAGGTGCCAGAATGTCGTACCAGGAGCAACAGTGCAAGCAGACGTGCCTGCCACCACCTGTTCAGTGCAAAAAGAGCTGCCCCCCTCAGCAGGAAATCTGCCCTCCGCTGCAGCAGGTCTGCCCCCCGCCGCAGCAGGTCTGCCCCCCGCCACAGCAGGTCTGCCCCCCGCCACAGCAGGTCTGCCCACCACAAGACCCCCAGGATCCAAAGTGCTGCTGATGAAGCACTGAAAGAAATAGCCAAAGCAAAATACGGACAGCAAGAAAGGAGATGGAAGCTCAAAACCATGGACATGGTGCCTCTTCATTTATTTCTATGCTTGCGTAGACTCAGTTATAACAATATCATGTTACTCCAGCATTTCGTATATGCTAAGCCTTTTTGCTTGGCAAGTTCAGTCTCATTTCACTCTGTTTCCCTGCCATCGGTGGATGTTCTGCTTGTTAGTTTCGACTCATCTGTGTAAGACATGATTCTTGAATTGTTGGCAAGCAACTAGATGCGCATCTTCTTTGACGGCATTTTTGGCAGCTGAGCACATGTTGGAAAGGTTTGGAGGGGGAATCTGTCTTTGCAGTTTTCCAACAAAACTTTCAAGGTGTGCCCAGTATTGTAGCCACATGTTTCCATGGTCATTTCACCATTGTATTCTCTCTGCTGTTCAGTTGCTCTGGAATTGCTCTGTGCCTGGAGGCATTATTAAAATATTACAATGAATTTGAGTCTTTGGCCTGGTCATTCAAGCAAAATATGGAACGGAGCCATTGCCTTGGCCCGATCAATTTGGGAAGGTGGCTTAGGCAATGGAGGCGGCATCTTGTGGTTAATCAGAGTGTGGATCCTCTTTCAGCCTGAAGACCTAATTCACTTTTGGACATGTGCTGGGAGCTGTCTACTTGTGATGGGTGAAGCTGAAAGCTAGAAGGATCAGGACCTCCCAAATACCTGCTTTTACCTTTAAGTTATTAATTCTAGCAAGTGAGGCATTTGGGAATGGGGAAAAAGTTGGGAAAGTTGGACATCCATCTAAGACATGGCCTTGGACAAAGGGACAGGGCTACTGGAAGGACATGGCTGCTTGGAAAGCCCCAAAGGGACGGACTTTTGATCCCATGTGGGTCAGACCTGATTTGGCCTATTGGCCTTTCAGTACCGCTATGTAAATACTGGGAAGAAGTGCTGTTGTATCTATTGGGTTATGGGTGCTGGTGGAGAAGAGGATGTGGGTCAAAAAAATGGGAACATAGATACTCCTATGGATGCTAGGAGCTGTCTGGGAAAGTCACGGATCTGGCCATACCCAGAGGTAGGAGAGCAGTGCTCAGGAACATAAGGACAGGAGAAGAGCTCTAGACCAAGTGTCCATCTAGTCCACCATTTTATTCACACAGTGGCCAAGCAGATGCCCATGGGAAATGCACAAGCCGGACGTGAGTGCTGTCCCCCACCCAGGTTCCTTAGTATCGGGTCTGCATGGGCATGCTTCCTATGCATGAAAATGGCTGTGGCTCTGACCAGAAAGGATCTGTAACAACTATTAGACCGAGCAATATTTTATGCACAGTTGGGGAATGTTCTTGTGCACAGCTGCCCTATCCTAGGTTAGGTGATCCCAGTCAGTCCATTGATCTACCAATCCATCTGTGCTCCACTCAGCTGTGGAGATCACCTGGAGACCTTGGGCCATTTCACAGCCAAACCTCCCTCACCTAACAGTTGCAGGGGTAAAATTCAGGGAGGTGGTGGATGGACCAGGTCCACCATAGGAGGGGCAAAAAAACCCAGACTATAAGAGAAATGATAACACCCTGCCCTCTCTTTGCCATCTACCTTTGGAGATGACTCACCAGGAAAGAGCAGGGCCTTTGGCAGCCTTGCCTGCGAAACCTCAGGTGTGTATGAGGAAATCCGGAGGGGAGGGGGAGCGATTACATGCTAAGTACAAGGTGCACTGACACAAGCATCTTCCTGGTAACTTACTCATGACTCAAACAACTGGGGTGCCAACCTCTTGGAGAGGGAGGGAGTATCTGTGGCAGCAAAGCACAGGCCACTCCCTGCATTGAGACTCAGCTGGCGCTTTGTCTACCAGTTCAGAAGATGATGTCCCCAGTGGTGACTTCTAGGAGTTTTGCACACCTGGATAATTTGCTCCCAAATGTCTATTATTGGTAATACATTAATACCCTGCTTTGCTGTTACTTTTATACTAGGGAGTTGTGAGAAATCTGCTTTAGGAGTGGGCATCTGATGTATTCCCTAGACTTGGCTCCTTGGACTCCAGCCTGCTTTCTTGCAGCCTATGAGTCAGTCTTCCTGGAGAACCCAACAAGCATTGGCACAGTGCTCACCAGGAATTGAGCTCGGCATGACTGCTCAACCAGCAGCATCCCTCTTCCATGCATTGGACTTGCATCCTTTGTGCTGCCCAGTAGCTATTTCATGAGTGGAGCTGGCTGGAGCCGGAGGTCAGACTAGATGATCTGGGAGACCCCTTCTGACTCACTCAGTTTCTATGTTTCTAAGTTGTCTCCAACTTATGGTGACTGTATGAACATGGCCTCCAACATGTCCTGTCCATGAAGGCCCCGCTCAGCTCTTCCAAGTTCAACGCTGTGGCTTCCTTTATGGGTTCAATGCAGCTTCTATTTGGTCTTTCCTTTCATCTTCCTCCAACCTTCCCTAACATGATTGTCTTCTCCAGTCAATCGTCATGAAGTGTCTGAAGTATGACAACCTCAACTTTGTCATTTTTGCTTCTCGGAAAAGCTGTGTCTTGATACAACATAAGAGTCACTTGTTTGCCTTTTGGTCAATATTCCCAAAGGTCTCCTTCAGGTCTTTGCTTCAAACATGTCAATTTTCTTCCAGCGAGCTTTCTTTTCTGGCCTGCTTTCACACTGATTAGAAATACAATAATGTGGATGAACTTGGCCTGACCTCCTCGTGAAACGTCCTTACACTTGAAACGCTTTTCTGGTACCTTCATGGCTTCCCTTCCAAGTCTCAGTTTTCTTCTAATTTCTTGTCTGCCCTCTCCCTCTGAACCGATGAGCCAAGGTGTGCAACTTCTGACATAATTCCCATTCAATTGAACCAAAGGGAGAGGTTCGTTCAAGCTTTTGGGGTGAGGAAAATTGCATTACATGGTTAGGAACCTACCACAAAATTTGTGGTTGAAGAAAAGGTGGTGGTCCTACTGGAAGATTCCAAAAGGACAGATGAAGACACACAGAGATTTGAATTTGCTCCCACCATCCCCGGCCTAAGATCTGTAGCCCTGTCTTAAAAGTCTTGCAGAAAGAATGGCCATGTAGTCTCAGTTTTAGCTGAAGCAAATTATTGAACACAACCATAATTTTCTAACTTCTCTGGCATGCCATCACGGGCAGGGTTATGACTAAGAAGCCTGGAAGATGCCATTGCCCATGAAACTGAGCAGGGTGGTAATTATTCTGATTAATATTCTTTAAAATTGCCACTTTCGTGTAAGGATCTTTGTAAGAAGGCTGTCAAGCCCTGCTTCTATTTCCTGGTGATCTCATTATTGGCAGGTGGCAGAGGAGGAAGGAATTCTGGCTTGAAACCTGTTTAAGGCCCTTTCAGCCCACCGAAGCCTTGAGTCAGACTCTGCCCTTTCCACAAGCAAAAGGAATGTTTAAGGGGAGATCCTGCTTGGAAAGTCCAGGAAAGAGCTCAGTTCAGAGCCTGTCAACCTTGTTTCAAGGCCTGAAACCAAATTTCTTTTCGGAAATCCAATGCTCTGTGCATGTTTGCTGGACTTTCAACTCTCCAGAGCCATCAACCACTCGCGGTCAATTTCAAAGGCACCTGGTCATTTTTCAATAGTTAATGTTATCTGTTCCGATCATTTTTGTCATGTCCATGGTACTAATGCATGGTAGGATCTGAAAACTGAAAAGAAGCAGCAAGCAAGAGCGGTGTGGTGTGGTGGTGGGAGCGTTGGACTGGGGACCTGGAGATCTTGGTCTGAGTCCACATTCAGCCATGAGGCTCATTGGACAACTTTGGGCCAGTCACAGAGTTTCAGCCCAACCTACCTCACAGGGTTGTTATTATTATTATTATTATTATTATTATTATTATTATTATTATTA